GGGAGGCTGAGGCTGGTGAATTGCTGAGCTCGAGTTCAAGACCAGCATGAGCAAGAACAAGACCCTGTTTCTACTAAGAACAGAAAGAAATTAGCTGGGCATTGTGGCGGGTGCTTGTACTCCCAGCTACTTGGGAGGCTGAAGCAAGAGGAACTCTTGAGCCTATGACTTTGAGGATGCTGTGAGCTATTATACCATGGGTCACTCTACCCAGGGCAACAGAGTGAGAATGCGTCGCAGAAAAAAAAAAATGCCCAACACGATGTAATTTCACCAGTACTTGTGAGTTTCCCTTTCTCCCCTTCCTTCTCTTTCCTTGCCTTGCTTTTCTAGACAGTGAAGCTAGTCTACCCTTCCAGAGCCTCATACCTTTATTTCCTTTAAGGAACCCAAAACTCTTCCTCCCCTCTTTGACCCACACATACACAAATGCACACCCAGAGTCCTCAGAACCACCCAAGTGACTTTCTGGCACCACTTCTGGTAGCTCAAACAAAAAGAAAAGTAAAATCTGGTGGAAATTTTCCACCTTAATTCTCCGTATCTTATATAATGCTACAGGTTGTCTCTGATAGCTGAGTGTGCAGGTATGCACACTCATGTGTCCTCACATACAAGTGTGCAGGGGGCCACTACACAAATCTAAGAGGCTCCATTCACTTTTGCAACCATCCTGCTTTATGTTACGTTTTACAATAATTTCCCAGCGGATGGCAGCAAAGTGCCCTGAGAAAGGGTGGCTTTTTCTATAATAATTCAGCTTCAGAGGAAGCAGTGCAAATGCTAGAGGCTCAACTGTCCTAGAGATAACAACACAGGCAGGGGGCTTTTTCTGCTCAGCATTGTCTGAGACCCAAGGACAATGGATGACGCAGAGCGACACCAAGGGCACGAGGCAGAGCAAGGAGTCTGCCCCTCGAACAAGCAACTGTTTAGGTTAGACTTTAGACCAATAATTATTCTTTTCTGTGCAGAGCATTTTTTTTTGCCCGTCTTATTAAGAATTGCCTGCCTATGGGTGATAAAAGGCAGATGGCAGTTTGTTATTGCTGACATTCATTGTATGCTGTACTTTTACAAAACCAATTTATAATTACACTTTCCTATGAAAGATAGATCACAACTATAGCCCAGGAAGAAGGAGAGAAGTGGAAGGGGACGGGAAGGTTGGGGGAAGGTTTGATGAAGGGAGGGTAAATGGTGGGATCAAACCTATGGAGCATATTGCAAGGATACTGCAAATCTATCAAGTATAGAACATAAATGTCTTAACACAGTAATTAAGTAAATGAGGTGAAAGCTATATTAATTAGTTTGATGTAACCATTCCAAACTGTAAAAAGAATCAACACATTGTACTCCACAAATGCATAAACGTATTCATGATCTATGTGTATATGACTTAATAAAAGGGAAAAAATAAAAACAGAAAAAAATGCTACTCTTAACCTCAGTTCTATTGCATTGGTCTGTCATCCCTCTGCCCCACCTTCTCACTCATCTTGTTACTATGGCTACGTAGTGCCTCTTCTTTACTCTTCTCTCCTATGTTCCACTAGGACATAAGCCCCACGAAGGGAGGTGACTTTATCTGTTTTGTTCATCAATGTATCTCAAGAACTAGAACACACCCCCGCACGAGAGGCACCAAAAATGGTGGTTCAGTGAAAAGTGAGGACCATTTCTCAGGTGGATTTCTTTTGAAGGAATATTGTCCTCCTATACTTCTTCCTAGAGGATTCTAGGCCTCCTCAGTGCATGGTGACATCAGTAGAGGCAGAGACCATGAGAGGCAGATGCCTGGCAAAGATGCTGAGAATGGTGTGGAAAAAGATTCCATCATAGGCAGTCATCCCATCATCTATGTACTGTCATCTATGTCATCCCACAGGTTCCACCAAAGGTAGAGACTCTCTGAGCCTCATCACCATCTGAGACAATCTCATTCATTCTCCCTATTTGTCATCCCCAAGTGGTCAGCACCAATAGTTCTACTTTACCCTGATATTAATGGCACCAACAAATAATCATTTGTTCATATTTCCCTTGGAGGGAAGGGTCTGCCACCAGGACTTCCTGATCCTCTACCGTTCAAGTCCAGAGGTTCATTAAAGCAAGTTGCTGGTAGTAACAATGCACCACAGTAGTTAAGAACACAGACTCTGAATTCACACTACCAGGATTCAAATCTAGATTCTGCTAACTGCTAGAAATGTGACCTGGGTTAACTTAATTAACCTTTCTGTAATTTAAGTCATCAACCATGACAAAAAGCTCCCAGTATTTTAGCAGATATTTTCTAGAAAGAATCATTACCTATGCATTAAAGAACTGAAAAGGCATAAAGAAAACACTGTTTTTCAACCTTTTTTGTCTCACAGCACACTTGAACCTATAGTTAAACTTCTGTGGCACACTTAAATTATGTTGATTAAAAAAAAAAAAAGAGTAAAGGCTGGGTGCCCATAGCACAGTGGTTACAATACCAGCCACATGCACCGAGGGTGGAGGGTTCAAACCCAGCCCTGGCCTGCTAAACAACAATGATAACTGCAACAACAACAAAAATAGGTCGGCATTGTGGCAGGCCCCTGTAGTCCCAGCTCTTTGGAAGGCTGAGAATCTCTTGAGCCCAGGAGTTTGAGGTTGATGTGAGCTATAATGCCACAGCACTCTAATGAGGGCAATATAGTGAGAGTCTGTCTCAAAAAAAAAAAAAAAAGAATTAAAAGAAAACAAAAAAGAACTTACTGTGCTTTGAAATTCTTTGAACCTAATTAATGATCTTTAAAAATCTTCAGAGCACACCAGCTGAAAATCACTGCACTGAGGTATTATAGAGAGAACTGCCTGAATCAGCCTCCACACCAGACACTACTAACACCTTAGGAACGTCTATGCTTTAGTTTCTCCACCTGTAGAAAAAAAAAATCCTTTAACTTTCATGATGTGAGATTCTGAGAAGCAGCAGAAAACCCTATGAGTGGAATCAACAAAAATCAACCCAAGGACAGCAGTGAGCTGCCCTCCATGGAATCTTGCTCTGGACAACCAGACCCTGCAGCCTGGCCCCTGTCAGTCACCACCACCACTAGAGAAAAACAGCAGTCACTTCCATCCAAGGCCAGCAGAGTCCTCTGAGAGTGAGTGGCACCTCCATTTTGCTAGCTTCATGGTCAGCTCGGGGTGGGGACGGTGGGGAGATGTGCCCTTGAAACAGGATTATACCATGAGTCACTTGCTGGTCCACAGCACTGGAGCTCTATGAAAAGATCTGAGGATATTCCAGTCAATACTCAAGAGCATATTTAGAAAACATCCAGAAAGACATAAAGGCCATCAACTGACCTAGAGATAAAACACAATTTTCCATAAGGAGGATGGGAGATATCGGACAAGGAAGACCTGATTTTTCTAAATGGTTAATGATGTCAGGCTCTATGCTGGGCACTTTTATATGTTATTTGACTTAATTCTTACAATGACGCTGAATACCTTCCCATTATCATTTCATACATGAGAAAACTCACCAGATAATGAACTGATTTTATCACAAAGATCTTCTCGGGCTCAGAAAGGGTATGGGAGAAGCCAAATGACTAAGGTTTTTCTTTGACCATTTGGTCCAAGTCGGTCACAGACCCAGAGGAAAATCTGGACCAGAAGGTTTCCTTGAACAGAGGCGATGCTATTCACAGGGATTAAGATGTAGGACAAAATTACAGACTATTGGGCAGAGATGTGATCTCAGACCTTGGTGCCAAGAGCCTTGGATTATATTCTACTTTGTCACCCTGGGTAGAGTGCCATGGTATTCCAAGTATTTTAAGAGTTTTTAAAACTTCCTAGTTTAGATTTGCTTCTCCCTGAGGAGACAGCCTTAAACAGCATTAGGACTCCCCTTGTTCTATTCTAATTCTGTAACACAGGAAATCGTGACAATGTACGTGGAGTGTACCATGCTGCCAGCTGCTGTCCTAGGCTGCACCTCCCAGAACAATCCTACACCCTCTGCCTCTGAGTAAAGACTATTTTCCAAGAAGCCTTAAAAGGAACATGACAGTGACAAGAATGTTCCCACAATGGCCAGTGCTTCCCAGAACATGAGCTACTGGCTCAGCCTCTGACTCCATGGCACCGGCTTCCTTCCCAAGATATGCCTGGAGTTTTCTGAGTGCAAAGCTAAAGACAAAGAATGGAGAAGCAATCACAGAAGTGACAAGTAGGCCAGTCATAGTGGTTCACGCCTGTATTCCTGTCACTCTGGGATGCCAACGCAGGAGGACCATCTGAGGCCAGGGGTTCAAGACCAGCCTGAGCAACATGGCAAGATCCTGCCTCTATAAATAATAGAAAGCATTAGCCAGGTGTGGTGGCGTATCTATTGTCCCAGCTACTCAGGAAGTTGAGACAGGAGTGTGAGGCTGAGCCCAGGAGTGTAAGGTTGTAGTGAGCTATGATGATGCCACTATCCTCTAGCTGGGACAATAAAGACAGATCCTGTCCCCCACAAAAAATACGAAGTAACAAGTGGTCACTGAGTCTCCACAAGTTCTTTTCAGGTAATCAAGAGCCAGGGAAATGGGAAAATGAATAAATTCTCCCAAATTCAAAATTAACATTATTTTCAATAGTTATTAAGTTTTCATAAACTCTCTACATCATTTCTCTTTAATTTTCCTAATGATCATGGAGTAGAATTATTATTATTATCCATCCTCCACTTAATAGAAAAGAAAACTCAAGCTCAGAGAAACTAGTTGACATACCTAACTCCACAAAGGAAAAGGTAAAAATTAATTCTAACTGTGACCACAGGACCACTCAACTCACCGAATAACCTGCTCATAGCTCTTTTTCTCATGTATGATTTTTATGTTGTGTTATTTAAAATATAGAAAGAGGAAGCAAAGGCACTTTTCATATATCAGCTGTAACTCTAGCAAAATCTGTATCCTGTGCAGTCATAAATACTGTGCTGAGGAAGAGGTGGGAGGCTGGGGGGTTGGAGAGCAGAGCAGTGAGGTCGTTCTGGTAGGAACAGCCAGTGGGCGGTTCTGGTTGAGAGCTCCCCAGAGGTGAGAGGACAAGCCAGCCACAACACACAGGTCCAAGCTTTGAGAATAGGAACAGGTAAGCACCTCAGTTTGGTTTGTGGCTTTTGGGGGGAGATTATGTGCTTTTGAACAGACAGCCCAGGAATCGGATTCTCATCCTGTCTCTGCACCTGACTCCCTGCCTGCAGGAATCGGTAAGTCAGTTCCCCTTACTGGCCTCACTTTGTGTCACTTGCCAATTAAGAAAATTGGGGTGAAATGATTCTTAGGTTTCCCTCAAGATGTCAGATGATGATTTTCTACAAGTTCTCTGCCTTTCCCTGGTGCATCACTCAGTCATAAACAGAACGTACTCTCAACAAACACTGTGCAATTACACTGATTCTGCATTAGGCCCCCCTTGTTCTATTTGAATTCTGCAATACAAAAATTGCTGTGCAGAGCCATTGACCTCCATGCCATGACCTGTCTCCAAAGTACAGATTTAGAACCATTTTGAGAAGTTGTGGGCCACTTCGTGTCTGTCTGAGTACACTTGGTGAATATGGATGGACAAAGCATCTCAGAATATGGTGTTGGGAGGTGAAGGCACCAGTTGGAGACTTCTTGTGAAACAAAGTATTTTTATTATATATAATTCCTCCTAAAAAATATCAATATGTGTCAAAACTTAAGTATTGTATCTTTAAATCCAGTAAATCTACTTGGATATGTTACTCCAAAGAGATAATTGAATAGATGAGGCATCACAGAATGCAAAGACATTTATTATACCATTGTTCATAGTGTTTAAAAAAAAAGAAAGAAAGAATAGAAATAACTTGAAATAGCCATGAATATGCAACTAGTTAGATGAATCTAGAAACATCCATTTAATTGAATATAACATTTGGCTTTTTATTATTGTGGTAAAATACACTTAACCATTTTTAAGTGTACAATTCAGTGGCATTAAATACATTCACGTTGTTCTGTAGCCATGAACACCACCTAATGCCAGAACTCTCTCTTCTTCCCATAATAAAACTCTATACCCATTAAACCATAGCACCCTAACCCTCCCCCTGGACCCTGGCAACCACTGTGCTACTCTATGTGAATTGTAATGCTCTGGGTGCCTTATATAAGTGGAATCATATAATATTTTTTCTTTTGCAACTGGTTTATTGCATTTAGCACATTGTCTTCAAGGTTCATTCATGTTACCATTTGGTTTCTAAAGTGAGGATTTTTGTTACCTCTATTCGTTTGTCAAAGACATCCACAGAACAACACCACACACAAAAATAGGGGCTCCAAATGGCATGGATGCCATGATTGTTCATGGAGAGTTAGGAAATCTGTGTGAATATACACAAAGAGGACAGAGACAAAGTGACACTGGGGGAAAGAGAGAATGTGGAGGTTATGTATGTATGAAACAGTAGTTACTGACTGGTTAAGAAACTTTATTGTTTTATTCTTCAAGATTTACTCCCTTTGTAATTGAAATTGCTACTTCATGAGCTCTTTTAAAAACAAACAAAATGTAAGAAAAAAAAAGTACTCAGACAGGCTGTCAGCATGATGGCATCAACCAGTAATTGGTGGCTATGGGGTTGATGCCATCAACCTGGGATTGATGGACCAGGGCTTCCAGGTCTTGGCTTCAGGCTTAGAATCACACATATCCTGGGCATTATTTCTGGGCATTTTGAAATCTGGGTGGAAGTCTGGGTGGGATTACCTGAACTAGAAATGGAAGAGTGTTGACACTGAATCCTTGCTATGAAGCTGAGATGAGGCCGTGGGTATGAGGCCTACTAAGCAAAGGAAGGACTCAGAACTAGGGATGCTGGTTATTTAGACAATTAAGAAGAAGGGGGTCCAGCAGGTGTGTTTGGGTTATTAAACTGCAAAGGAGCAAGGCAAAAGTCAAGTTTCCACAATATGTGGACAATTTTGGTGATGGAGAACTTCAATACACATTCCCTAAGGTCAGAAATATTCCTAGGGAAGGTTATGGAGACTATGAGTGGCAGCCAGTGCTTTAACCATAAAGGAGAAAGGACGAAAGTCGGGTGGGGGGTGTGCCAGAGTAGCTAGGTGGGTGTGCACAAACCTTCAGGGGATAGAGATTACCTCTGGCCTTACACAGTCTGGGTGCAAATCTTGCCTTCACTACTTGCTAGATAAGCAATCTTGTGCAAGCTATTTTACCTCTCTAAACCATGTTGTTCTTACCTTCAGAATTCAGGCAACAATAGCACCCATCTCTGAGAGTCATTGTGCAGATTAAATTAGACTCTATGCAAAGCTCATAATAGAGTGCCATCTTCACAGTGAGGGCCCAGTCCTTGTTAGCAGTGGTTATCATTTTATCAGGAACTACTATTTGATTTTGAAACCTAGAATCCCTCTAAGCCTAGGGCTTAGAAGTGGCTTTTTGCCACTTCTCTGACTTTAAACATGTACCGGAATCCTCATCCGAGGTCCTTGGCAAGGATTTGGTGTCAGTACTCTTCCCTTTCTACTTCAGGTAACCCCACCCAGACTTCCATCCAGATTTCAAAATGCCCAGAAATAAAAATTTCTCCTTATACAAAGAAATTAATTTTAGGTAACTCTTCACTTAAGGTACTTGATGTCCAGAGAGCATGAGACACTGGGCTAAAGCAGGGATCTAGAAGTAAAAACCTAGTGGGATCACAAATTTTTTTTTATTTTGAGACAGAGTCTCACTTGTCACCCTGGGTAGAGTGCTTGTCATAGCTCACAGCAACCTCAAACTCTTACATTCTAGCAATCCTCTTGCCTCAGTCTCCCAAGTAGCTGAGACTATGGGCACCCACCACAGTTTCCAGCTATTTTAATAGACGGGATCTCACTTTTGCTTAGGCTGGTCTCCAACTCCTGAGCTCAAGCAATCCCCTGGCCTCAGCCTCCCAGAGTGCTAGGATTACAGGCATGAGCCACCACACCCAGCCACAAACATTTACTAACTATATTGGAGTGCTTGATATCACTCCAAGAGGCGCAACACCAGGCATCACATACACCATTCTCATCCTCACAAGGGCCCTTAATGATAGTATCATTATCCCTATTTTACAGAAAATGACTAGGACTCTAGATTTTAAAATCAAATAGTAGTTCTTCATAAAATATAACCACTGCTAACATGGAGGATGAATGAGGGGAAATAATCTGCCTGTGGACAGCTAGTCAATATCCGAGCTGGACTTCCAGTGAGTATTAGATGAAACTAATCTTTACTGAGAGCTTATCACATGCCCCACTCTTTGATGAGCCCATTATGTGCATCATCTCATCTAACCTGCACCATAAACCCAAGAAGAGGCTAAAATAACTTGCCTATAGGGAATTCAGTAGTATTGGTGGATAAGGGGTTAATGTAGGACTAGACTGCAACACACGTGCTCAGACATGTAACTGGATGTCCAGGCATCAGACTCGTCTCCAGAGTCCTTTCCCATCTCCCCCACTCATAACAGCATTCTGGATGCCATTTTCAATCTTTACATGCTATGCACTCCATCAAAGAGAGCCTTGAACCATTCCTAAAACACAAAGACATTGAGGAGAGACATCAGGGAGTAGACTGTGGCACTTTCAGAGGATCACAAGACTTTAACTAAACTTTGGCCTTGAGGAAGGAGAATGTGATACCAAGAGCTGATCTGGGCAAAATTCCAGTGGCTGAGCTGGCAGGCAGCAGACAACTGCTCCTTAAGTCTACACTGAAATTGCCAATGTCAGGGATGAAGAAAGGGGAAGATAAGGAGAATGAATGTGGTGCAGAGAAAAACATCACACGCTTCTGACCCTGTTAGGCTCAGTCCAGTCATTTGCCAGTAACGCAATATATTTGCTGCCATGTGTGGAACACATTCTATGTGCCAGGCTGTGTGCCTTGACTGACAATGCCATGTAACGAAAATTCCCTGAACTTACTAATTCCAAGTTTCTAATGTACAAAATGGATTTAATAACATCTAACACAGGGTTGTTACAAAGATTAGAGCTACAATAGTCTAGTGCAGCAGTTCTAAACCTGTGGGTTGTGACCCACAGGAAATGTATTAAAGGGCTGCGGCATTAGGAAGTTTGAGAACCACTGGTCTAGTGCCTGGAGTTAAGTAAATGTTTATATTACTAATTGTTAAGCTAATGTAAGCATGGGGAACTTTTTGGATGGGACAGTCCCTCTTGCTATGGGAAAGGAAAGTGGAACAGCATCCAGACAACATATTAGTGCAAACAAAATAAAGATTGGTGGGCTTAGCAGTGTAGAAGTAGCCCAGAATACTGGCTCAGGGGATGTGGTGTGAGAATGCAGCCAAGGGGAAGCAGAGATGCAGGAGGGGGAAGACAAGCTAGAAGTTGGGGTCATTGCAGGAAGAATGATGTGGACACATTCAGAGATGCAAAGCAGGCTCTGTGTGAATTGTTCCTCTCTCAACTGTAGGACTCTCAAAGGTCACAGCTTTCTCCTGGTGCTATCTTTCTTGTCCACGATGCAAAGAAAGCCAGTCATGCTAGATTTCCAGTGCTTTCTGGATCTCCCTGTTCTGGGGACAAGCAACACTTTAAGTAATGGAGAAAAACCTTCTGAAGTTCCTACAATGTCTATTCCAGGGTGGGGAATCTTTTCCCGTTGGAAAGCCAAATTAATTGCGCTATAACCAAATAAGTCCACATTCAATGTACACTATCCTGCAAAAACCTAACTTCTATGTATTTAATAATTTCAAAAAATGAAAGCTATTTGTTAAAGTTTACTAACCTTTGAATGACTTTGTTGTGTCTGCCACGCGTGGTCTTAAGGCTGCAGGTCTCCAACCCCTGGTCCTATCTCTGGGAGACTGAGTCTGTAGACTAATTTTGGGAACTAACCAATGTCAGTGCCTCTTCCAGCACCATCAGCATCATGGTATCACAGGCCAAAACCAAAGGGGCTGTCGACACCTTCACTCCAGAGGGCACAGTTATCCCCAAAAGAGAGAAACCTGGACACACTTACCAAAAAGATTATTACCGACAGAATGATCTGCAAAAAGAAGCCACAGTTCTTGGAGTAAGTCCATCTTGTTTTAAGGGGGACACTGACAATATTTATTGTGAATGTATCTAGAAGACAGATGTATAGTGGATCTGGGGAAATCTTGCACTTGCTTCTGCCTGATCCCAGGCTACTTGAAATATGAAATGGAGTTTTATGGAAAAAGTATATTCTTCTGTAAATTTCTGTAAATTAAGTAAAACCACTAGATCTTTTCTACGGGAATGCTACACAATTAACAAACTCGTTTCTCTTAATTTGCCTTTAGTATGGTAGAGATTTTTACTGAGTATGCTTGATTTTTTTCTCAACGATTTTCTCAGTATACTTAAAGATCTTACTTTAAGCTAGTTTTCCAACATTTTGATATGATAAAATCTGTGCTAACTTCACTATATATTTAGCCTTGTTCACATGAATAACTATAAGACACCCAAGGATCCTCAGTCATCATTCTTCATATCCAGAACTTTAACCTTCCTATGGTTCTGAATATTCCCTTGGAAAATCCAACAACTACCTCTTCCCAACTTAGAAACCTGCTCAACTGTGGCCTCTGAAATTTAGGGTCAGTTAGCATAATCATCTTTATACCCAACTCTGGTTTTTCCTTAACTTCATCAAGATTCATTGATTATATCCCTTTTCACAAAACCTTACTTCTTTATATGCTCACTTCTTGCCTCACCTGGCCAAGATCTCATGGTTCACTCTCTCTCTTGAGTGCCCTCAACAACCATGGCCTCATCTACCCATAGCAAATGCTTCAAGCAAATGGAAACACTGATTCCAACTCTGCCCATTTGCCTACTCCATACCTGCATGCAGGCAGCTGACTTCAGCTGAACACACACATACACACACACACACCCCACTTTAGATTTGTGACTATAACCTCAAATGGACTGTTAATGCTGCCTAAAAAGTAGATGATTATTTTCCATCCATTCATTTTCCTAATACCCCAGAAAATTATCGTAGAAGCTCTGTAAGTTGATCATCCAAGGGATTGGAACAGACTGGTCAATGTGTGGAGGTGGTCAACATAAGGAACTAGGTTTACTGTACTGATGAACTGCATGTCTAGTTTGTGAAAATTAGGTCCATTTAAGCAGGTGGTCAATGTAGGGAGGTGGTCAACTGTCTCTACTATATTTCATACTTCCCCCCTCCCCAGACCTCTAATGATTCTTCCCTGCCCTCACTCTCCATTGATAACTTTGTTTTCTATAACACTAAGAAAACTGAGGCAATCTGAAAAGTCCGCAAGCTGGCATGCATCTCCAGTTACTCACATCCATGCCCATATATCCTTTCTTTCCTCTCCATTACCAGGAATAAATCCCCACCTTCTATTTAATGTTAACTCTCAATTTGTGCATTCTCTCCTATGTAAAATATCTTATTCACATGGCTTCTTGAACATCACGCCCTTCTTATTTTCCTCTTTCCTCGATGGATGGACCTTTTTCACCTCCTTTACTGTCTCAAATTTATTTCCTTGACCCTAAAAATGGAGCACTACAGAGTTCTTTGCTTCTGTTCTCTTTCTATATCTGCTCCACTGGTCGTCTCATCCATTAATATGGCTTTACATATCACTTTCACTGATGCTTGAAAAAAATAAACTATCTTCTTTGCCTTGAGCTCTCCTTCAAACTCAAGACTCAGACATTCACCAGCCTATAAGCATTTCCATTTGGGTGTCTGCTAGGCATCTCTCCCTTAACTTGTCCCAGGCTACAATCCCGATCTTCCTCTCAAGCCTACTCCTTGTACAGTATTTGCCATCTCGGGTCTAGGTCAACACCATTATTTCAGTTACTCAGACCAACACCCTTGGAGTCAACCTCATTCCTCTCTTTCACACCCACATTCAAACTTTCCAGAATTTCTGTAGGTTTCATCTTCATTGTACAACTAGAACCTGACTACTTCTCACTCCCTCTACTATCAACATCATCTCCCATACAAATTATCCAAATATCCTCCTTAATAATCTCTATGCCCTGTTTCTTTACAACCTGTTCTCAAAACAGCAGCTAGAGTGATTTTTTTTTAAGTGCAAATGATATCTTTGTTCAAAATCACCTATTGGAATTTCCTTTTTGCTCAGAATGAAAAGCAAAGTTTCTAAAAAATAGCCTACAAAGCCCTACACAGTTTGCACCAGGCTTCCATTACTTCACAGACATCATGCCCTACTATTTTGTCTTTAGTCCATTCTGCCTTCCATGAAGCTGGTCTGTGGAGGACACAGTACATATAAGCTCTCCAATGGTCATGGCGTTCATTTCCTTTGTTCCCTGGTCCCTGGCACACAGGAGGTATTCAGTGAATATTAACTATGAAAGACTGACTTCTTTCAACTTTATTTTCCCAGTATTTGCATCATTTTTCAATCGCATATGCATTAAACAGTGGGAAAAATATGGGCTCTAGATCAAACTAATGGCTAAAATCCTAGTTCTTCCTCTTGGCCATTTGTTCTAGTTTGTTAAAATTACTTTAACTTCCTGTGTCATGCTTTTCTCATCTGTAAAAATGATGAAATGAACAGTACACAGCAGGGGTCCTCAAACTTTTTAAACAGGGGGCCAGTTCACTGTCCCTAAGACCATTGGAGGGCCGGACTATGGGCCCCAAGACAAGCTGGCTGCTAAGCAGGACAAGCAGGGATGGCAAAAACACCCGGCGGGCCGTATAAATGTCCTAGGCAGGCCACATGTGGCCGGCAGGATGTAGTTTGAGGATGCCTGGTACACAGAATGTAGAGCTTGTTCAAGAGTTGTAAACTATTATTATTACTGATAGCAGAAACATTATTATTATTAAAATCCAATGATGAATAAACTAAGATGAACTGGTAGCAGTAGAGACAACTGCTCTATTTGATTTCAGTTGAAATCAAGACCTTTAATACTATGAAAAGTTTACCCTCCACCTAACAGGAGGGTTCTCCAGAAAACTTTTCTCCTTGCACCTTTTAAAGAATTAAACAAAAAAGATTTGTCCAATGTCATCTTCAAAATAAAGTTAAAATGTTCATATGGTCACTTCCTGATTTGTTTAATAATCCTATTAGAAAAGAAAAGAAGTTAGTTATATGTGACTTTGTGCCTTATAACATTTTTTTCCTTTTTAGTATGACAAATTATATTTTTATACTTTTTGTAATGCACAATGTGCATGCATTTAAGTAACGACTTTTATCTGTTTTGAAGTGTGTTCTAGAATTTCCCTCTTGTGTCTTGCAGACTATCCAGATCCTATGTTGCCTGATGATTTTAAGTTTGGGGGCCATTTTGGTTTCTGCTTCCTACCCCTCCCACTTCGATCCAGCGGTTTCCAAGGTGTTGATGTCCGGGTACCCATTTGTAGGAGCTCTGTGTGTGAGTAGAGTGGGGTCCCTAAAAGAGGTCATGCTTTGTAAATGCTAACTGGGTGTTTAGTTGTGGAGTGACTCAGTCTTCAGGAGGTAGGGAGCCAGGAGAAGTCCAAGGCCTTGATGCTCCCTCTTCTGCTCTCTTATTCAAGAAGAGCAGCAGAGGGGTTCAATCTGTCCTCCTATGTGAGCATCCAGGGGCCAGCAATATAGTGGGCATTCCAGTATGATGGTTCTTACCTGACATTATAGCACACTCCTGGAGAAAGAGAAGGGTTTTTTGTCTTTGCAGCTGGATTTCTTCCATTTTAAGAATAATTCACTTGTCAGGTAGGAGTGAGAAGATAATTTTTAAACAATAAAATGAGTATAACTGGCAGATGCAAAGATTTGTATTAGCAATGGTGAGATTCATGGGAAGTAGGGGCACCCTTGCTATGCATTCAGAGGTAACCCTGAGCACTTGAGAAACTGTTTGCTGCCTTCCAGATAATTACTTATGAAAAAAGGCCCAGTGCATCTTTTTTATTTTCTTCTAGAAAGTAGCCAGGGCAGACTCATGGGTCCCACAAAGGGTCATCTCTTTTCCATGTAGTACCCTCTGCACACATTCTGGACAGATAAATGATGCCAAGGCACCATTTCTATGTGGGTATAGTCCCTGTGTGGACACAAACTTTGATAACATGCAATAAGGCCTGCTCCTGCCCCATAGCAGAATTTTTTTTGACTTCTCTATATAACTCTGTCCGTGGGCCCCACATTTCCTTGGGGAAGCTAGTGTTACTTCATGGCAGACTTTCTTTGTCTGTGACTACATAATACCCAAACCACAAGCTTAACCAACATTTCAGCTTTTCAGACTATCCTCCATCCATTAGCTGGGTCCTTAATACTACTGGGACCAAATATTGACTTTTGGAACTTTATCATAACCACTTTATCAAGCCACAATAGCTTCCAGTCCATATACCTCTGCACCTTGGTCTCACCAAAACTTCTTTCTTAACTGCTTCTATTGGCAGCTCCCATCTCTCTATCCATTCAAGGCTTTAGTCTGTCTCAACCTCTTTTCTTTCAACATTGTAATTTAGTAATACTTTACTTCCCATGTACACCTTCTCTCCAGAGTTCCATAGCTCCTAGTGACTTCCACTAATTAAACCAAACCTGTCCATGCATATGCCTGTTCTTCCAAGTCACGGTGAGCATCCTAAAGGGAGACATCAGGTCTCTCTGTCAATAAGGACCCACACCATTCCGGCTTTGTTATCTTCCTAAAATTTTTCCAATGTCACTTTTAGATTGAATGAGTAATAGTAACATAGTGACCACATTTCCACAAGATAATTTAACTGATCATTTCTCTCTTCTTTGAGCAGTTTGGTGTTACTGGATCTCTCTCAATTGTCTCTGGAAAAAAATCAACTAAGCCCCTTGTAAGTATGAAAACTGTAAAATCTCATTTGATCAGAATTGTAAGAACCTTGGAGTTAATGCTTCCAGTTCAAAATTTTCATTTTACAATTTAGGGAAATGAAATTTAAAACAGATTATGAAGCCCATGCTCTTCTGGCTGGTCCACTGGCGAGGCCAGGAGTAGAGCCCAAATTTCTTGCGTTCTAGACCAGTGCTTTCTCCATAAAAATAGTGCTTCTGAGCTGGGTGTGGTGGCTCACGCCTATAATCCTAGCATTCTGGGAGACAAAGGTAGGTGGATCCTTTGAGCTCAGGTGTTTGAGACCAGCCTGAGAAAGAAAAAGACTTCATCTCTATTAGAAATAGAAAAACTATCGGGGTATTGTGGTGGCACCTGTAGTCCTAGCTACCTGAGTGGCTGAGGCAAGAGGATCACTTGAGCCCAAGAGTTTGATGTTGTGACACCATGGTATTCTGGCCTGGGCAACAGAGTGAGATCTGTCCTTAAACAAACAAACAAAAAAATGATGCAAAAGTGATGGTTCTGTATCATAACCCAAGTTTGGAGGAGCAGGAGGTTTACCTCAGTTGTTCAAAAAGTAGAAAGTTTTAAAGGTACCATAGACTTTTTACAAGTTGCTACTTTGACCTTTAACAGTGTAGCCAACCATCCCAGCTAGGGCCTAAAGACCTTTTATGTTTTTTCCTCAAAACCTTACCTCTTAAAGAAGTTCTTTTTGATTTCAAATATTCCTGTTCCTAGAGTTGGAACTTCACACTAATTTCAACCCTTTCATGTCAGGTTGACAACCTAGGACTGTCTCAGTTTTAGCCCCCCAAACCCCACATCCTAGGAAACTCCCTCATCCCCAGGCAAACCAGGATGGTTGTTCATCCTATTCTGTCGCCATGGTAACAAGTTGTAACAAGTCCATGATATATTTTAAAATTTTCAAGTCAAATGTCAGGTAGGAGGCATTCATTCTCCTGTCCCTCTCCTGCCCATGAGAGGAACTAGGCTTCTCTTTCTGGGCTGGAGGAGACTATTTCTACACAAAGACTCATCCTTGATAATTGGATGCCCAGGAAAGAAAATCAGTTCAAAGTGAAGTGGGGGAGAATGAGGGTAAGCACGTTTGAGTCCTGTCTGATGAGGTCTGTAGAGAGAGCACACAGGGGTGGGGAGAAGAGACGTAATCAGCACTGACCGCAGCTCAGAACACAGAGACAGCACTGCCCTGACCAGTGCCAACACCTCCCGGACTTCCTCACGCCTCAGAATCATTCTATTGCCCAACGTGCCTCTCAAGCATGGCCTTTGGTCCCTCCTAGGAAAGCCAACCTATGGCTGTGCCTTACTTAAGGGGTCAGCTTTGGAGAAAAGGCAGAAGTAAACTGAAGATGCTGAAATACCTAGTGGGTGGGTCAGGCCTATAAGAACCACATTCATCAGCCCATCCTCCTGAATCCTAATCTACATTTTGGGGAAAAAGGCTCTCCCAGGGCATGATGATTCATTAGCAAAGACACTGAAACCCCAGCTTCCAGCACTTCCTCTTCTCTGTCCAAGCATCACTAGAGGGTACGGTGTCCTGGGCAGGACCACCCTGCCCTCTTCTTCCCTGGCCCTGGAAATGGCTTCATGTGCTGAGTCCCTAAAGAAAGACTAGCTGGAAGGGGCAGAGCTTTTGCCTCAAATTTCCACATGAGAAATAGAGTCTACATGTTGTCCTGTGCCCAATATGTGGAGCCCGTATTGTTGTCAGGTCACTCTAAGTATAGATTTCTCTTTCTGTGTATTCAGGACACTTGGAAAGCCACTTCTGAGATCAGCATGTTCATCCTCCACATTTTATGAATGAGAAAACTGAAGCCCAGAGTAGGAAGGAACCTGTTCAAACACACAGACAAGTCAGTGTCAGAGCTAGGATGGGCGATGAGGTTTCCTGATTTCAAGCCCAGAACTCTGACCCCATCCAAGGCTATCAACTATTTAAAACAGCCGCGTCAACCCCTGGGGGCATATGCCGGGCACTATACCATCCACGTGTCCTCATGCATGACCAGACAGACCCTGTGTTCTTGGATCAGGACATGGCTCGTCCCTAAGTCACCTTCATGGGTGTGTGGACAGGGAGAAGGAAAGTTGCTATGGAAAGAGAAGAGGCTTTTGCTGCTTCCTCCCCCAACCCCTCCAAGGTTTGTGCGGAATGTGGCTACAGTTCCTTCATTTGAGTGGGTTGAGAGAGAACATGCTGTCTAAGCCCACACGCATCCCCCTCGTGCTTTGCCACTTAGGGAAACTGAGGATATGTGCTTATCACTTTGAGCAAGCATTGAATGTCAATCGAAGGTCAGTCGATTGTCAGTTGTAAGCACATGCTATGTTCCCACAGGCCTGATTATCCTATAGAAAGGTATTTCAGCTTCTCCTGGTTGCCTCTGCCTTTTCTCTGAAGCTGCTCCTTCATGTAGGGCAAAGCCAGCCATAGACTGGGTTTCCCAGAGGGGACCAAAGGCTGTATTCTAGAAGCCCATCGGCAGTAGAATAATTCTAAAGCTGTTGAGGAAGTCGGGGGAAATGGTGGTGGTGCTGTGAACTGTACCATCTCTATCTTGAGTGCTATAGAGAGTCAAGCAGGCAGAAGCCCTCTCCCTAAGGAGGAATTATTCATACAGTCTCTTATTCAACAAGCACTTACCAATTACAGCATGTGATACACTGTACAACACAGAAGGAAACATAGATGGATAAACACAATCTGTGCCACTAGGAGTGCACAGACTAGAGGAGGAAACAGACACAGGAAGCTCCTTTGCAGCACAAGGGGCAGAGAGAGAACAGCAGGCCCCATGTGCTGGTTCTGCAAGGAAAGATCGATATAGAATTTCTTTTCCAGGCCCTGAGCAGCCTGATCTCAAATGCAATGAGTTCTGTCAGTGCTGGAGCAGGCCTCCTCCTCCTCACTGATGGCCTGGTGACCTTGGAGACAGCCTCTCAACGCTGTGTCTCAGGCAAGGAATATCTATCCTCACTGCCTTATTCGGAGTACTATTACTCATTGTATGAAGTCAGGGACTGTGTCTCGACCCACAAAAGTCTAACAGTAAGTAGTTTCAGATTCAATATCCTGTCATATGAAATCTGTGTCTCTCCTTTGCATAGTCTCTGCCTTGTCAGCAGTCTCCGGTATTGTTGGTCTGCATGTCTGGAAGCAGACAGAAAAACAAACAAAAAAAAGCATGGCTGAAAGAGGCCCGTCAGGAGACTGCATGATGCCAGGATGCGTGGTATAAAGTCAAAAGAGGAAATCAAGAAGGGAAGTGGGCAGTCTATCCCTTCAGTGGTTTTTCTTAGATCTTAAGAATTCCAAATAAAATAGGGTTACCTCCCAGAATACCCCTTTTGTTGAGCAGGCTTTTTTTTTTTCTCAAGGCAGATAAATATTCTTTTTTATTTAAATTTGTTATTTTCTCTTTTGGGATCCTTCCCTGGAGTCAAAGTCCCCTACCCCTTAGAGATGATTTATCTTCTGATCTTCAGAGAATTGAGAACTAGGGAAAGCCACACGCCATAATTTCTTCAAATGTATGCCAGTGGAGCCTATACTAAGTTAGGCACAGAACTTAAACCTTAAGCCCAAACCCTCCATTATGGTACTTTGACCCTGAATGGCTGGGAAAGTAAGGGGAGATAGGAGACGGCTTACCCATAGATTTGACCCCTCACGGAAATGTCACCATCTCTGGGCAGTATTTTCTTGCCACCTTCCCACCAGCTGTTGATGGTGATGAGCCCGGCCTAGTCAATCCTCTAAATATAGGATCGTAGTGTTAAAACCACAAACGTGAAAGATGTCTTCTGTGACTCCTCACAGTAGGAACAGTGGGAACCCAAGTCTATCTCTCATTCTTCTGGCGCTGTCTGACAGATCTCAGCAAGTGTGTCCAAGCCTTTGCACTCACAGACTCCTGTGAGTTTGCCTGTGTGACCCGGAGGTTGTAAAAAGCAGGTACTTTGATGCAGGAGGATGAGGAAGTAGAAAAGCATAGAGGCCCACCTGGGAGGGAGACGGTATAACCCCAGTGCAGGCAACAGACATCAGGTAATGTAATGAGGGTGGAAGGCATCTCCCCGCACTGGGATATCGGGGGGTTAATTTAAAGGAAAAGATAATTTCATTTCATCAAACTGTCTCTAAAGAAGTATGGACAGAAACATTGGTGTCCAAAGCAAGATAATGGAGTTTTAATGCCCATGACAGGATTTAACGTTTTTCAGGCCCACATTGAGTATCACACAAAAGTGTTAGAAATTGAGACTGAATATTTAGTCGATTTGTGAAAATATAACAGGTAAATATTTCTGCACATCATACTAAGAAGAAGATCCCTGCCATCAGCTCACTAAGCCTTGTGCAGATATGATATCCAAATTCACAATTACATTTAAAATAGGGGACCCTCAAATAAAGGGACTCACTTAAAAACTACTACTACATCGGTGAAACCCCTAATATTCCAGCAGAATCAAACCTAAAACTACTATCTATAGGGCGAGCCATGAACCCACACCCACATATCAAAGGGCCCAACCACCACTATACACTGAAATTATCTAATAATAAAGAGATTATGAGAAACATCATAACAGCAACAAAACCATGGGAAATATGAACAATATGATAATTGGAGATAATATAATAATTTGAATGAAGCTATTGTGAAAATATATTCTAAAAATAATCAAAAATTATTAATACATTTAATATAATATGTTTATATATAATTACTAATATATTTAATTAAAAATATAGTAAGGCAATTAAACAAAATTAAAGAACTGGAAGATAAGGAAAAAAGTACAAGTAGATTTGGAACAGGACTAAATGGCATGATTGGAAATGAGAACTGGGGTCTTTAAAGTAAAAAGCTGAGCACATCAGTTCAACAAAGATTCACCATACTCAAAAAGAGAGTGAAATCAAATTTGAGGCTGCTTAAATCACACAGAACACATGCACTAAAATAAAAACCTGGAAAATGTGAACGAGAGATTAAAAGAAATGGAGGATAGACAGAAGTGAAAAGGTTCCACACACATCTAATAAGAGTTTCCAGTGGAAGACTGTGAAAGAGACAAAGTATGCAAAAATAAATAAAAGAATTTTTTAGAATTAAAGAAAAATATGAAATTTCAGACTGTAGGAATGCACTGAGACCAAGTGGGAAGAACAGAATCAGATACATATCTAGATACATTATCATGACAATAAAAGCAACAAAAGCAAAAAGAAAGTAATAAAAGCAGCCAGAGAGAAATGGCAGATTATTCCCACCTGTCATTATGAGAGGAGGCAATGGTTGCATATTTCTCTTCTGTTAAGAAATCTATAAGAGAAAGAGAAAAAGAGTAGACAATTTTCTCTTTTCCTTTTTTTTCCTTTTTATTTGTCTCTTACTGGAGGCTCCATCCCCCAGGCTCCTTTCAGAGGAGGTGCAAGTGCTAGTGTGTGCCGGATACCAATTATTTGCATCCTGATTTGCAGGGTGCTCTGGTGGTGATGCTCACATTCACTGTGCTGCAGCTCTTACTAGCTGCATACGCTTCTATCTTTTGGTGGAGACAGTTCTACACGGAGAACCCTGGGGTGAGTATACTGACGTGTTGCCTGACACCCACAGCATCCCAGGTCTGAGCAATGATGATCCAGGCCCAAAAAGTGCTTGAAAGAGGAGCCAACACTTTATCATGAGATGCAAGTGAAAGTGACTTTTATAGTTAAAAAAAAAAGATGAGTTCAGTAACGGGCCCCTCCATGAGGACTGTGGTCCTCTGGGGTCAGCTGTGCCTACCAGGCTGCAAGCAGACTGGATAGAGAATGGCCTAGCATGGAGCTAGTTGGTGTTAGATGTCACTTGGCCCAGCTCCTCCTGAAAGCATCAAGGCTTGGATAAAATTACATGGAGAATGAATGATACAGATAATGGGCTGAGAATGAAAAATTGTATCCCCTCACTGTCAAGAATGCAGCCACCTGTCTGCCTAGGAAGTCTCCATAACTAAGTTCCCTTGCTAATGTGACAAGATTTTACCAGGGACTTCTGTGCCCCTCCTTACTTCCTTTTAGCTTGTGATATCATATTTTCATTTCCTCTAAAATATTTTCATTTCCTCTAAAAGCTTGTTTAGTCTCAGAAAACAATATCCCTAACCTCAAAGAAGGCATCAGATGCAGCCTTAGAAGCAAACATTTTTCTCTGACCTTTTCCTGTCTCCTTGACCCTTAGTCTCATCCTTCCCTGAAGTTAGGAACAGAAACTTCCCCTCTTCTCATAGTAGGTCAGAGAAACCAAAATCTTTTCTCTCAAAAGCCAGCCTTAAAACCAAAGAATACTCTATGTGAAAACTGGCCATACCTGCCTTGTATGCTATAGGACATAAGATTCTTATTCTAGTGAGGAAAGAAATGCACGTTCAGTGAGGCCAAGATGAATCAGACAGGACTTACCGGGCATCCCCATGCCATCTCTTTGTGTTAGACCATACTCTTTTTGTCAAATCATATTTCTTTCTGTACAGGTGTCCATACTTTGTTGAACCTAATTATAAAAGTGGACAAACTCCCCTGTAGTTTTGGGTCTTTATCCTGAAGGCTCATGTATGCAAGTTAAATAATGAATGCTTTTTACCAATTCATCTTTCTTTTGGAAGTTGATTTTCCAACAAAACTTCAGAGCAATTGGCCCCAACAAGCTATAGCAAAAACGGAAAATTTTCATAGGGTTTGTAAGAATTATGATTTAACTGTGATCCTATTAGGAAATAGTAAATCGATTCACAGGGCGGAGCATGGTACTTTTTGAACTAATATTGCTACAATTATGCATGTGTACAGAGGGTGTCAAAAAATGTATGCAGATTTTAAGAAAGGAAAAAATTATATTAAAATTATAATACTCAAGACACATTTGACTTCTGCAATTAAAGAGATACAAGATTCCATATTATATGCCAGCAACATTTATCTTATATATTGCACCTTCTGTCTCTTTAATTGCAGAAGTCAAATGTGACTAGAGTAACTTGAGTATTATAATTTTAATACAGCTTTTTCCTTTCTTATAATGTGCGTACATTTTTTACACTCTCTGTATTATGGTAATGTTGAGAAAGCTACTAATGCACAAAATTTGGGGAGAATATATTATACATATTTTAAAAAATCGTCAGAATCAACGTTTAAACATGACTAACAATTGCTATTTTTTCTAGAGTAAATTATCCTTGCCTTAATCAGAAGATCATATCCAATATGCCCAGAAGAGTTCTTCAAGGTCATAGAAATGAGTAACTTTTGACCTCAGAAGAAAAAGCCGGCATGCATGCAAAGTATGATTAGACTTTCCTGAAATCTCAGCCATTTTAGATCCTGTTGAATAAATTTTTTTTAAAGAGAAACTTTTGTTTTGTACTTGTCCATCATGTGTCATTTAATTTCTCTTGGAAATAATTTCCCAGAAGCCTGGGTCAGTAAAATGTTATTAGCCAGACTTCCAAAATAGTCATGCACGTTACAAACGTCTCTAGGTAAAGTGAGTAGAAAGTGACTCATTCATTTCTATAGATGAACAGAAAATGTGGACCCTGTGCTCTTGTGGCTATGCAGGCCACAATATGTGTATTTTTACACATATTGCTTAAATATTAGATAGTAAGGATTTTAAGAACATTTTTAAATAAAAATACTTTAAAATATATGACTCTTCTCTCTCTCATTTAATGACCTTACAAAGACTATAATTAAACTATTCTCTTCTTTTCTTGGTCCTTTTCTGCAGGCAGTTGGCACATTCTTTCCTGGGGAATTTCACAAGTTCAGGACCTTCTGTTGAGAATGTCTTGTAAGCATTTCCTTTGCTTACTTTCTCACTTCCTTCAGGTCTTACTTCAAATCTCTCAACCTCAATGAAAATGTCCCTCTTGATCTACACAAAATTCTAACCTTTTTCCCCTTTCACTTGCTTATTTTTCTTCATAATACTTATCACTGTCTTGTGGTCTATATACAAGGGTATATAGTATATATATATTACAGGTACTACAGGTATAGAATTCCTGTAAGTTGACTACACAAGGGATTGTAATAGACAGGTCAACATAAGGAACTAGGCCTACTGTACCAATACATACATGTATGTCCAGTCTATGAAAATGAGGTCAACTTACTACGGCGTGGTCAATATAGGGAGGTGGTCAACTGTGATGGTTCTACTGTATTTTATCTATTTGTTTGTTTATTGTATATCTACTTCTACTAGTCCGCAAGCTACCTTAGACTACTCACTGCACCCTGCTGAGGTTTTCAGCCCCTACTTGTCTGTTTGCAAATGTGAGTGTGTGAGTATGTGTTAAACTGGGGATAGAGGACCTTAGAGCTTTCCCTCCCCCCCCATAAGCCATGAAATGCAATAACATATTTTATCCAGGATTTACGGATTATTTGTTTGTTCAGGACTTTTGTGATTGTTGTTTGTTTTTTGTTTTGGTTTTGGTTTTTATGCCTCATAGGTCCTTCAGAACATCTTTCTGCCAAGCTGCCGGAAGATGCAGTTGGGACACTGCACATTTCATTTGCTATCCTTACTACCCCCCCCCCCGGCCAGGTTGTATTTTATAAATGATGTGACTATCCTCTCAGTTGCTAAAGTCAGAGATTTAGAAATCATTCTTGATTCCTTCTTTAGCCTCACTACCGAATCCTGTTTGGGCAACCAATTAGACAAGAATCACATCAAAAGGAAGGTCTACTAAACGCATGCAAGAAAAGGAGGAGATGGTTTCAACCAAGTCCAAGGAGATGTTGCAGATATCTAACACCCAGGTTAGATTTTCCCCTAGGTCAAAAAAGAAAAATGTAAGTTGCTCAAGTAGGTAACCAAAAAGAAATGGCTGAGCCATACACACTCAGACCCTTACCATAGAGCTCCAACCCTCCCTACCACCTTAGCCAACTCAAGGAGGTATTCCAGCAGGAAAGGAATCTATGAAGAAGAGAGTCTGCAATGATTTCTATACATCAGCAGTTCTCAACCTGGAGTAATTATGTCCCCAGAGGATACTTGGCAATGTCTGGAGACATTTGGTTGTCACAACTGGAGGTGTACTACTAGTATCTACTGAGTGGAGGACAAAGGTGCTGCTCAATATCTTATAATATACAAAACAACTACCACAAAAAAGAATTCCTGAGCCCAAATTTCAGCAGTGCCAAGGTGGAGAAATCCTGCCACCTGTGGTTGCCGCAAACTAGGAAATAATAGAGATAATGTTTGTTTACATCGGTTTTAGTTTCGTGAAACCATTTATCTTCATGATTTCATAGTAAAAACCTTCATAACAATTATAGAAATATAAAGGATTGACATGGACAGCAAAATTCCAGAAGGCATATTTTTCTTTTGTTTTGTTTTAAGTAGAATTTGTGTAGTTGAATCCAAGAAGCATTTAAACGAAATTAGTTTTACTTGTGTGCCTCAGAGCTAAAATAGCTTCTATTAAAATGGCAAATACATCTAGTCCTATGGTTTGCTTATTAATGATTTTTTTAAACTTGCAAACAAAGAGATTATACATTAAATGTTCTTGCCACAAAAAAATGAAAGAAAGATAACCATGTGAAGGTGCTATCTACGTTAATTAGCTTGGTTGTGGTAATCATTTTACAATGCACATGTATATCAAAACATGGAGTACATCATAGATATGTAGAATTTTTATTAGTCAATTATACCTCAAAAATGGAAAATATAAAGAGATTCATAGGTAACTACTGATTTTCATAATACAAAGGAATATGGTTAAACAATAAATTAGACAAATTGTCAACTAAAAATGTGAAACTCCTTTCCAAGTAGGGTAAAACATGGTTGAATAAATATAATATAGATCATGGAGACAAGTAGAGTTTGCCTCCTTCCCCTGTCCCTTAGTATATAATTTGGGGCAACATTACATTTTTGTTTTTCTCACAACTGGAAACCATTTATTTATATGGTTACTTACTTTTTTAAAAGTTATTTTAAAACACTAAGGGGATCCAGATCTTTTTGCTGCATGGCTCAAGTCAGAGCTATAAAAATGCCAATCACCCAAATGGTGTTCACTGTACCTGTTAGATAGTCTTTTGCCCTTTCTCTCCTCCTCTTCACCCGCTATTGATTTCCAAAGACTTTTACTTTCCTTGTGTGCCCAGTAGTTAGTTGCAATTAGTTAGAGGGTATACATAGTGTTTGTTTTTCCATTCTTGAGACACGTTGCTTAGGATAATGGTCTCCACTTCTTTCTAAATTGCCACAAAAGACATTAACTCATCCTTTCTTATGGCTAAGTAGTACTCAGTACATATAGCACATTTTGTTAATCCACTCATAAATGGGTGGGCACTCAGGATGATTCTGTATCTTCACTGTTGTACATTTCGCTGCAATAAACATTTGAGTTCAGATGTCTTTTAGATAACATGACTTCCTTTCCCTTGGATAGATACCTAGTAGTAGGATTGCTGGATTAAATGATAGGTCTACGTTTAGTTTTTGGAGAAATCTCCATACCCTTCTCCATAGGGGTTATACTAATTTGCAGTCTCACCAACAGTGCACCACAACAGTGTTCCTTTCTCTTCACATCCATGCTAGCATCTATTGTTTCCGGACTTTTCAATAAAAGCCATTCTAACAGGAGTAAGGTGATATCTCACTGTGGTTTTAATTTGCATTTCCATGATGAATAGTAAAGTTGAGAATTCTTTCTTAAGCATGTTAGCCATTTGTCTACCCTCTTGTGAAAAACTTCTGTTTAAGTCTTTTGCCCACTTACAGTGGGGTTAATATTTTTCTTGCTTTTTTGTTAAGTTCATTGTAGGTTCTGGGTATTAGCCCTTTATCAGATGTGTAGAGCACAAATATTTTCTCCCAATCTGAAAGTTGTTTTTTTTGCTCTGTAGATTGTTTCTTTTCCTGCACAGAAGGTTTTAATTTAATTAACTCCTATTTAATTTTTGTTTTTGCTATGATTGCCATTAGGATATTAGTCATAATTTTTTTTGGCTAGACTGATGTCTAGAAAAGTTTTTCCTACATATTCTCCTAAAATTCTTACCGTGTCATGCCTTACATTTAAGTATTTTATCCATCTTGAATTAATTTGTGTGAGTGGTGAGAGATAGGGTTCCTGTCTCATCCTTCTGCATGTGGCCATCCAATTTGCACAGTACCTCTATAGAATAGGGCTTCTTTTGCCCATTGTGCATTATTGTCTACATTGTCAAACATCAGTTGGTTATAGGTAGATGATCCATATCTAGATTCTTCCTTCTCTTCCAGTGTTCCCTGTCTCTATTTTTATATCAATACCGTGCTATTTTGTTACTATAGCTGTGCAGTATAGTTTGAAGTCTGGTAGGGTGATACCGCTGGCTTTGTTCTTTTTGTTTAGGATTGCTTTGGCTCCAAACAAAGCGTAAAATTATTTTTTTCTAGATCTATGAAATATACCATTGGTATTTTGATGGTGATTGCATTGAATCCATAAATCACTTTGGGTAGTTATGGACATTTTAGCAATGTTGATTCCAGCAATTCATGAGCTTATGTTTCTCCATTTGCAATTTCTTTACTCAGTGCTTCATAGTTCTCTTTGTAGAGATCTTTCACTCCTTGGGTAAGTATATTCCTAGGTATTTTGTTTTATTTGTAGCTATTGTGAATGCTATAGTCTCCGATGTGACACTCAGCTTGAACGTTATTTGCATATAGAAATGCTACTGATTGGAATAGGCTGATTATATATCCTGAAACTTTGATGAATTTATTTAGCAATTCCAGAATTCTCTCTCTCCAGGAGTCTTTTGGTTTGCCTAGATACAAGATCATATCATAAGCTAAAAGCAACAATTGATCTCCTCTTTCCCAATCTGGATGCCTTTTATTTCTTTCTCTTGCCTGATTGCCCTAGCTAAGACTTTCAGCATTCTGATGAATAGAAGTGGTGACAGTGAGCATCTTTGTCTTATTCCAGTTCTTAAGGGGAATGCTATAAATGTTTCCTTGTGATGTTGGCTGTGAATTTGTCATATATGGCTTTTATAATTTTGAGATGTGTTCCTTCTATGCCTAGTTTATTGGGAGTTTTTATTATGAAAGAGTGCTGGATTTTGTTAAAAGCTTTTCCTGCATCTATTGAGATAATCATTGGTGTTTATTTTTATTTCTGTTTATGTGGTGAATCATATTTGTTGATTTATGTATGTTCAACCATCCTTGTTTCCCTGGAATGAAGCCCACTTAGTATGGTGTGTTGTTTTGTTTTAATGTTTTATTGAATCAATTTGCTAGTATTTTGTTGAGGAATTTTGGGGCTATAGTGTTCTTTTT